GAGGGGAGAATAACAAATGATCTGACATCTGTTATTACATTGCTCTTGCATCATGCAAGGAAATCCCTGCCTTCTGCAATGCAGCCTTCTCAACTGGGTCTTGAAATGTAGGACTGCCTTGACCTTATATCCATTTGCACTTCTGCCAGCTGCACACATGTGTGCCTTCTTACCGCAACCACACTGTTACTCGCACGGTGCACGGCTTGGTTCTCAGACTTCAGACCCGGGACTAAAGGCTGCCGACACCATTTATTAGCCAACTCATCTACTTTTGCAAAGCCTCAGTTTCTCCATCAGTAAAATGGGGATGACAATCAAATTATTTTAAAGACTAAAGATTCTTGTATTAGATCATTCACATAATACTCTTAGCTATTTTGGAAATCTCCCATGCCATATTTTTAAGAAGTGCCCGAATTATTTTATGATTAAAGGTACATTTAGGAGACCCTGATTTAGTTCATTAGTTTTTCTCTGGAAAATTTGGGGCAGGGTTTATTTTTCTGAGGGTTATTTGGCAAGAAGATTCTTGATCATTCTCCCACAGGAAGTGGAAGATAACCCTGGAGCACTGGATTGGACTAGGTTTGGGGTTAAACCCTGAAGTGACTCTGGCACCTGAGATGCATTTCTTTAGTTACTAATATGCTTGATGATTTTTTCGTAAGTTTATTGAATCTTCTTATTTCTTTCTAGTAGTTTGTTTTATAACCTTTGCTCATTTTCTTATATAGGATTAATTTTCATTAATCTGGAACAGTTCTTTACATATTAATGATACACTTCTGTCTTTTTCCTGCATGCAATTTTCTAGTTTTTTGTTTACTTTTTTTTTGTTTGTTTACAACAAAAATTTAAAATTTTTATGTAGCTAAAGTTACTGATTTTCCCCTTTGTAATTACTTTTAGGCTTAAAAGTGATTATACTGCTTTTAGGCTTAGAAAGTTTCTTCCCACTTGAAAATCAGTTAAATATGCACCTGTATTTTTTTTTTTTTTAACATGTTTTGGGATGTGGCTCATTGATTACCTTTAGCCTCGTAATCCATTTGGAATTCTTAGCCTGGTAACAGTTTTAAATGTTATAAATTGGCACAGACTTTTTAGAAAATGTTTTTGGAAAATGTACCAAACCCACAAATTAGCTGGTATTCTTTGCCCCAGTAATTCCAATTCTAAGAATCTAATTTAAGAAAATGACAGGGCATGCGTCAGAGATTTCTACATGAAGACAGTCATCCCAATGGGGTTTATAATCGCAAAAAAATGGAAATGGCTGAAAAGTCTCTAATGGGTGGTAGCGTGAATAAATGTTCTGCAGCTACACACTCCCATATGGTAACTATTAGCCACATATAACTATCCAAATTTAAATTTATTAAAATTAAATAAAATTAAAAATTCAGTTCCTAGCTTGCATTAGCCATACTTCACTAGCTCAACACCCATATGTGACTAGTGCCTATTGTATTGGACAGCATAGGGGGGGAACATTCCCATTCTCATAGAAGCTTCTAGTGAACAGTATTGCTCTATGGCCATTAGAATCAGGTTTTTAAAGAATATTTAACTCCATAAGATATATTCATGATATGGGGGTGAATAAAAACATCAGAATACAAACTTCGGTAGTCACAGGAATTCAGACTGGTTGCAGTTAATTTAATCATAAATATCTTCAGCAAGGTATGTTTGTTCAGAGGAAACACAAACCCTGCCCTCTGAAAAAAGCTTTTTTTTTTTTTTTTTTTTTTTTTTTTTAAGAAAGCAAAAGAAAGAACATCTGAAGATCCATAGGTACCTAGGAATTAAATGAGATGCCTGGGGAAACCTAGTACAGGGCAGCCACTCAGTAACTGTTTAGTGATTCAAAATCCAAATGGGAATTATCATAATGATCATATGTCAGCCTAATTAACACTGTATTCTGTGGCCCACAATGGTCTTAAAAGAAGCCATGATTATTCTTCTGTCAGCATCTATCACACAGTCATCAATGTCACAAAACAACTTGATCAAAAAATGGCACTTAAGAACTTGTAAGTACATAGGGCCGGACTCAGTGGTTCAAGCCTGTAATTCCAGCACTTTGGAAAGCCGAGGCGGGCAGATCACCTGAGGTCAGGAGTTCGAGACCAGCCTGGCCAACACAGCGAAATCCCACCTCTACTAAAAATACAAAAATTAGCTGGGCATGGTGATGAGCACCTGTAATCTTAGCTGCTTGGGGGAACTGAGGCAGGAGAACTGCTTGAACCCGGGAGGTGGAGGTTGCAGTGAGCTGATATCGTGCCATTGCACTCCAGCCTAGGTGACAGAGTGAGACTTCGTCTCAAAAAAAAAAAGAACTTGTAGCACATAATGCAAATAACTTCACAGGGTATTTGGTAAATAAGGAAAGGCTGTGTGGCCTCTAAAACGTCAATAAATATCAGCCACTATAAGAGAAAGCTTCACTTTGGTGTAACGAAAACTTTGGGACAATCTTTGGGAAACCTACAAGTAACTTGAGCCCTAAGGGACTCTACAGTTTGGATTTTGCAGACACAGACAAAAAACTGAAAATCCTAAAACATCACAGAGGAGATCTGAAAAACAACTTGAACAAACATTTTCTTTAGCTTCCCAGTAAGAACTAAAAAAGCTAAACAAACGGGGTTTTAAAAAAATCTTTAAAGGAGCAGAGAGCAAACAAAACCATGAGAAAAAAATATCTGAGAGAAGATGCAAATTTTAAGAGGTAAGCTCGGCATTTGGGACCACTTGTGTCTAAAGGATGTTTGTCACGGCCAAAGAGCTACCTGAGAGGCTGCACATCCCCCTTTGCAGCTTAGGGATGCTCTGGCAAACCTTCTACTCTGCGTGCAAAGCAGAAATACACCAGCTCCTAAAAGGACTGCAGTCCAGCTTCGAGCCGTCTGGGCTGCCCAAACACCTCCACCCCTGAAACTGGACTAAAGTAATCCCAGATTTTAATTCCCCCAGGGACCTGACAGAAACAAGCCCAAACCTTCTCTAGAGGAACAGACCATCATCCTAGGCCTCAAACTATTTCTACAAGCAGATTTTCAAATATTACATTCATCATTCGATCACTGCCAAAGTAGAATACCGCACCTGGTAAAAACTATCCTTAAAGGATAAAAGTAAAATAAATCATTTTCAGACAAAGATAGAGAATTCTTTTAAAAAATATGCTCATGGATGACATTCCTCATGCAAAAGAAAAGGAACCCCAGGTGGAAAGTCAAGAAAGCAGAAGGAAGAAAACGTCAAAAATGGAGCCGTTTTCCGGGTGTGCTCTGGACAAGCACATGACGTTAAAGAACCACTAAAAGCTGATTCACAGAGCAAGGTTATTTTATTTTCCCCCTACGTTAGTTAGACATTATATTTGGCTATCCTCTAAAACAAGCTTGTCCAACCCCTGGCCCATGGACCACATGCAGCCCAGGACGGTTTTGAATGCAGTCCAACACAATTTCATAAACTTTCTTAAAACATTGTGAGTTTTGTGTGATTTTTTTTTTTTTTTTTTTTCTCCTTAGTTATTGTTAGTGTGAGTGTATTTTACGTGTGGCTCAAGACAATTCTTCTTCTTCCAGCGTGGCCCAGGGAAGCCAGAAGATTGGATACCCCTGCTCTGAAAGAAAACAGTTAAACCCTAGTCTCACATCGTATTTTGGAATATGTTTTTGCTCTATTGGAGTGCAGGAAAACCAGATGCCATGTAGAAGATACAGATTTCACTGCTGGATTTGTAAAACATAAATGGCCAAAGAAGCCATTTATAAAGTAGTAGATTGAGAAGAAAAATAGTTGCAACAGTTTATCAGATAGGAGTAGGTTCAACAGCATGTGAGGCGGGACCTAGAGGTGGACGCAGGTGGGATAGAGAGTTCTTACGAGATTTGAGATAGTATCTCACTCACTAAATCACAAATGCATTGTGAATTGATTAAAAAAATGAAATAGGCTAGGTGTGGTGGCTCATACCTATAATCTCAGCACTTTGGGAGGCTGAGACAGGTGGATCACCTAAGGTCAGGAGTTTGAGACCAGCCTGGCCAACATGATGAAACCCTGTCTCTACTAAAAATACAAAAATCAGCCAGATGTGGTGGTGGACTCCTGTAATCCCAGCTACTCAGGAGGCTGAGGCAGGAGAATCCCTTGAACCTAGAAGGCAGAGGTTGCATGCAGTGAGCTGAGATCGCACCATTGTCCTCCTGCTTGGGCAAAAAGAGCAAAACTCCAACTCAAACAAATACATAAAATAAAATAGATAATGAATTTTAAAAGACAAACTAAGAGATTTATGTTTTCGAAGAACGTAAAGATATTAGCTGGTCTGGCAACCAGTAGCTCTGTTTTCTATTATGTGAGTTTGGAATGTATTGTAAATGCAAGATTTTGACATTTATGATACCAAAATAAGATAAGAAATAGTCTTTTCCAGTGGTTTGCAAGAAAAGTATAAATAGTCGTATTTTCAGGAATCTAATTTTTCAACATAAACTACATGACCCCTGAATGTCTCCCCACCACCCGGGAATTTTAAGATTCATCCTAAATTTTGTGACAACATCAGTCCTGATTTACTGAGACCTGAGTTCTTTATTCTAACGAGGCTTCCAGTGATTCTATTCCACTATTCTCAGAGGAATCATCACTGAACACAATTATTCCATCAATGATTGTGCTGAGGACTGGCCCCGTCGATGTATTCCTGTCTCACTTACATTATCCACTCTGCCAGTGCCCTTTATTTCAAGGGGTTTCTACAGCACGTCCCTCTGCTCTCTTAAAACCACCATGCTGAAATGACAGTTTATGTCAATGACTTAACTGAATCCGCTCAGGAAGGCTCTCCATAGGCAGGAATCGCTGGATGGTAAAGCTGACGTTTGGCATCTACTGAACTTTATTCGCAAAGCAAGTCTTTTGTCCCAGGCAAAAGCGAGAGAGGAATAAATGGGCGGTTGGCACTCACTCACCTGCCGGAGTTTGGTTCCCACCATAGAAGCACTGCTGTCAAGCACGAATACCACATTCTTGGGTAAAGGAGGAAGGTCTTTAGGAGCAAAGTAGTGCACAAAATAGCCATTTAGAACCTGGTGGAGAGAAAAGAAAGTAAAAACGGTAGTACCTAGAGTAGGGAGGAAAAATACCTGAAGTGGGTATTCTATGGAATTTCTAAAAGTTAAAGCATGACACAGAGCTTAGGCTCAGATTCCACACCTGGAGTAGAATTATCTAAGCCCCTGATCCCTCCAAGAGAACTAATTGCTAATTTAATCTGTATAAGGGTAGACTCTTCCCTTTAAAATTGATCAATGATGACTACCACTTCAAGTTTAATTATCCATCCCCTGGACCTTTGCTACTTGAGAATTCTGCTTCCTTCGCTATCTGTTTTTTTACCAAGCATCTTACAAGCTGAGACATCAAGATTCTCTACATTCTGGATGCAATTAATAGGTTTTAATATCCCCACCCTGTCTCTGGAACAATAAGACCTAAAGGAAAATGAGCAGTCTCTTTTAATTAAAATGGAACATGGACCAATTACAGTGGCTCATGCCAGTAATCCCAGAGCTTTGGGAGGCTGAGACGGTCAGATCACTTGAGGTCAGGAGTTCGAGACCAGCCTGGCCACCATGGCAAAACCCCATCACTACTAAAAATACAAAAATTACCAGGGCATGGTGGTGGGTGCCTGTAATCCCAGCTACTTGGGAGGTTGAGGCAGGAGAATCGCTTGAACCTGGGAGACAAAGGCTGCAGTGAGCCAGGATCGGCCACTGCACTCCAGCCTTGGTGACAGAGTAAGACTCGGTCTCAAAAATAAAATAAAATGGAGCATGAACTAAAATTCTAATTTCATCTAAAACACCACAGGGAGCTTGATATTACAGATTTCACTTGCTCTGCAGATTACTGAAGCCAGAAATAGGTACCCTCAGCAAAAAAATACCACTAGTCTCTTTGAAGAAATATTTTAGGTTACAACAAATTTACTAAGAAGCAGAAAGTTCTCTCTCCCTTAGGTAAACACTGGAATCTACAGTCTGAGTCTATCCAAAGTATGGACCAACCAATGTGAAATAGCAACAACAATCCCATTACCTGGATGTCCCCAATGCTCTGTTCTCTATTGACATCATATCTAATGATAAAGTCTCCCAAAACTCCATTCTGGGCAATCTTGGCCTGTTGTACTACACTAGGTTTAAAAATGATGTTGGCAAACGTTTCATTTTGGTTGATGACAGTCGATGGGGGAGGCCCAGAATCATCTGCAAACAAGACAGAAACATAATTAATAACTTATTTTTTTCCAAAAAGAAATAAGCACTGTTTGGCAGACACAGAGTTTTAGATTTCATTTTATTACAGGCTTGTATTTCACAGGAACTTCTAAGACTGTACTCATATATCACAATGTGACAAATATGTCATCATGTAGCTCCCCTCTTATGCCTCTTTTTGAACCTTTTCTTATGAAAATTTTTAAAACACACAAAAGTAGAGAGAATAGTAAAATGAATACCTGTATCCATCACCCAGCTTTAACAAACATCAGCATGTTACCAATCTTTAGTATCTGTGTTTATCTATTCCCCGATCATTTTTTCCTAGAGTATTTTAAAAACAAATTCCAGACACCATTATTTCATCCATAAATACTGCAGTATGCCTTTACCTGTAAGAACTCTTTTACTAACATAACCACAAAACCATTATCACAAGTAACAAAATTAATGCTCAATGCCCTATTATTATCTAATTCTCAGTTTGTATTTACATTTGTCTGATTCCCTAAAGAAAGGGTCTTGGTATGGTTGATTTGTTTGAATCAAGATTAGAACAGAGTCCCCAATCACATTCCATTTTTGTTTCTTGCTTCTTTTAATCTCCAGTGTCTGCCTCCACCTCTTTTCTGATGCTACATATATGTGATAAATCGCTGGTCATTTGTCCTACAGGATTTCTCTTTTTCTGTATTCTCTTTTTTTTTTTTTTTTTTTTGAGACAGAGTCTCACTCTGTCACCCAGAGTGCAATGGTGCAATCACAGCTCATTGCAGCCTCAAACTTTTGGACTCAAGTGATTCTCACTTCAGCCTCCCCAGTAGCTGGGACTACAGGCACGTACCGGCATATCTGGATAATTTTTTGTTGTCGTTTTTTGTAGAGACAGGGTCTTGCTATGTTGCTCAGACTGGTCTTGAACTCCTACGCTCAAGCTATCCTCCTGCCTTGGACTCCTAAAGTTCTACGAATACAGGCGTGAGCCACCATGCCCAGCCTGTGGCTCATTAAAAAAAAAAAAAAAAAAAATTCTCAAAGCTTTTTAATATGAAATTTAGGATATAAATTTGAATTACAGAAAGATAAACAGATAAATGGATGTTATGTAATTTATGAAAATCTAGTGTGATGACAGATTAAGCAAAGAGCATCCCATCTTTTACTCCTGACCTTCATTTCCTGTTAGAACCCAGAGAATTATTATAAACCCAAACAACACTATATCTACATACTTAGCAATAAAAACCCAAAGGATGAGGTCTGCATGCACCATGGAAAATATGAAAACATAAACAAGAATTCTTAATCATAAGGGTATGTGGAGGCTTTTTATCCAGATATTGAATCAAAGCCAGACTTAAAACTGCTGCAAAGCCTCTGATTGTCTTTTTAAATGTACTCAAGTTGATAGCATGAAATAGGCTGACCAGCAATTTCCCATCTCCAATTAGCAGAATGAAAAAGGAAATGAGGCGTTAAGTGGCCACAGTAATTTGTATTTAAAAATAAACTTCCTTCTGCTGAGGGTTTATTAGACACAAAAGTCAAAGGAAGTTTAAACATTTCCTTTAACAAAACAGACAATTATTTTTCAGAGACAATTTAGGTGTAACCTTAACAGGAACCACAAGGTAGAACAGATTCTTCTATTACTCGCACTTACCAAGGACAGGGATTTTGGAAGTGATCAGAGAGCCAGCAAAGAGAAAAGTTTATTTTTGTAGGGAGACAGTTACATAAGAGAGAACATGCATCCACAGATCTGCTCATCTGGAGGAGTTGGGAAAATCCAGATAGTGCATGGACAGTTCCGCATGGTTGGGGAGGCCTCGGGAAACTTACAATCATGGCGGAAGGCAAAAGGGAAGCAAGCAAGTCACCACGGCGGCAGGAGAGAGAGAAGTGGGCAGCGCCAGACTTTTAAACCATCAGATCTCGTGAGAACTCACTCACTAACACGAGAAGAGCAGCGGGGAAATTCACCTCCATGGTCCAATCACCTCCCACCAGGCCACTCCTCTGACACATGGGGATTGCAATTCGAAACGCGATTTCGGTGGGGACACAGAGCCAAACCATATCAATTTCCAACCTTAACTATGTAAAATAGAAGGAGGGGCCACGCGCGGTGGCTCATGCCTGTAATCCCAGCACTTTGGGAGGCTGAGGCGGGTGGATCGCCTGAGGTCAGGAGTTCGAGATCAGCCTGGGCAACATGGAGAAACCTCGTCTCCACTAAAAATACAAAAAATTAGGTGGGTGTGGTGGCTGTAATCCTAGCTACTCAGGAAGCTGAGGCAGGAGAATATCGCTTGAACCAGGGAGGCGGAGGGTGCAGTGAGCTGAGATTGCGCCGTTGCCCTCTAGCCTGAGCAACAAGAGCAAAATTCCATCCCACAACACCCCCACCCCCGCAAAAAAAAATAGAAAGAGCAATTAAATATACAACTATAAACACAAGCCAAACTTGGGATACCACAAGGCAATAAAAACAAAAGAACTAATATTGCTATTTAGAACATGGTTAAACCTCACAGTCTTCTTGAAAATATCAGATACAAAAGGGCATGTTCTCTCTGCTTCCGTCTGCATAAAGTTCAAGAGGAGCAGGAAATATCCATGGCAACTGGAATAGAACAGTGCTGGCTTTTGAGGGCCAGCTCCGGACTGGGAAAGAGGACAGGGTAAGTTTGAGGAAGGGTGAAAATATTTCATGTCTTGATGTGGAAGGCAGTTGTATGAGTGTATACCTATGTAAAATTTTATCAAGCTGTACACATGACATTTGTACCCTTTATGGTGTATGTGCACCCCAGTTATTAACATTTAAATTTATTGTTAGCAAAGTAGATTAAACAGGCATGGAACATAACAATGTTATTTGCCAAACCGACCCCTCTCTGTCCTCCTTAGGATGAATGTGCATGGGCATTTGTTAAATGAGGATTAGGTGTGTCCAGAGCCATTCCGGCCGGCAGAGTTAGGACCAGGGAGAGAGTTTCCGGGAGGCACTTTTCAGCGCGGTGTCGGTAAACTCTAAGAAAGTTGTCCTGTTGGGATCGGCCGCTTTCACAACCCATCCCATTAGAAGGGCTCAAGTGAACCCTGGAATAATCCCCCCCATGAGAGTGTAGAGCAGTTCTCACAGTGTGATCTTGAACCAGCAGCATCAGCAGCTCCTGGGAACTTGCTAGAAATGCCAGTTCTCAGGCCCACTCCAGAAACTCGGAGTCAGAAACTCTGGGGATGGGACTCCGTCCGCCATTTGTGTTTTAACGAGCCCTCTGGGTGATTCTGGGTTTTGCCCATAGAAAATAGGTATGTACCCCACACACCGTCTGTGTGCCTTACACATAGAAAAGAGTCAATAAAATGTGTTGTATGCAATTAGGCAGCACTTAGATTATCTCTAAGATTCTACAATAATTAGATTAGACTCTCTTTATGCTGCCAGCATGCCCCTACTTAGTCTTGCTTCCAATCTGTCTCGTGAAAATGCTTTTCACAAGTTCCCTGAATTAATACCATTCATGGCTGAGTAAAAGCACTGGGGATTAGAAAGTATAATTTCTCTCTTCGTCATTCACTTGACTAGGCTCTTTGATATGGACCATGAGGAAGGATACTGTATGATTATGTTGGTTTCCTGGTGACCTCTGGTTTTACTAGTTCATGATGAAAATTCATGAGATTCAACTAAATGGGCTTATTTTACACACCCAAAGAGTGGGTTGATTCTCAGTTTGGTTACTCACCAAGAAGCCTGCTTCCTGAGGCCAACCACCACCCAGTAAGAATCAGACAGTAAATGTGACCCAATAAAGTTTTCACTATGTTGTTTTTGTTTGTTTGTTTGTTTTTGTTTTTTTTAAGTTTACTGGGAGCAATTCCAGAGGAGCATCTCTGGAAAATAGAATCATCTTTTTATTAAGGGGGAAAAAAATCTGTTAAGTAGGTTCGTATGGGCTGTTCCACCGTTACTGACCAAAATTCCAGAGCAGAAGAATATGACTCCGTTTTTCCTTGCTGTGAATGGGGGCTCACCCTGCTCACCGCCACAGATATTTCCTAAGCACAAAAATGAGTGTCACCCGCAGGGTCCTCAGAGTCACAGGTTAATGAAGACCACAAGGAAAGAGATTGGTGCAGACCAAAAAAGAGGAAGAATCTGACACACTTGTCTAATGAGAACCCATGTCTCTTTCCTCCTTCGTGTTCTCTCCTTCCTGCCGACGTCTAGGGCGAGCTGGAGCACCTGCTCCAATTTGGGGAAGACGGAGTCTTCTAATGCCATCTTCCTGTCTTCATGCAGGCATTGGCGGTCCCATACAAGAAAACCCCAGGGATACACAACTGCCCCTCCTGCCCTTGGGAAAATTCACTCATGCTCTTCCTCCACTCACTGACTCTTCCCTGCCTCTCAGGCCACCAGGGTTCCCAGGGGGCGCTCTTCTTTTCTAAAGCCCAGTATTTTTGAGCAAGCTTTGTGTTATCTTTGCAAACTACAGAATACCAAAGAGAGTGGGCTCTAGAGTGTGACTGAATCAAAACGACTGACTTACTATTCCTGAGCTTCAGTGCCACGTCTGTTACATGGGAACAATTCCACAGTCATAGAATCATTGTTGAGATGAAGCGAGATCTCATATGTAAGGTGCCCGGCATGGTACCTGGCAGACAGCAGGTGCTCGATACATACTAGCTCCGTTCTCTTCCCCTTCAGAAGTAGTTTCTTGTACTCTTTGTCCATTATGAAAGGCAATTTATAAAGAAAAAAATGCTCTTTGATAACATACAGTTCACATTTTGTCATGAGAGTTTTCTCTATACCACTGAAAGCTTGATAAAAACAAATCATATTTCAAAAGGACAGACACATAATAAACATTCATAACAGGAAATTCAATAGATATACACATTATACATATGCCAATATACTTACACAAAGAATAATCTTAAAAAAAAATCTTTACAAAGTATAATGA